ATTAATTACATATAGTTTCAGAAAGCAAAACATGTTAAAATATAAAAGCATCTGGGGACAAATGCCATGTTCCATGCAGTCAGATAGTATGAAATGTAGTATCCAGTGACAGGTCTGAAATATTGCTCCTGGTACCAGTTGTCTCATGTTCATGGAGAGAGGTTTTGCTGGTGTGAAGATGATGAAATCAAGTTGGCTGCAGTTTACTGCATCTTCACTGTAACTGCTGTTTACAGTGAACAGTAAACAGTATGCCATGCTTTGAGCTGAGAGCTTAACAGACCCTCAGTAAGCCAGCATTCTTCCTGCCAGCCATTGAGGCAGAGGCTGTTGCTGTTCTAGCCTGGAAAACTTGGACTGGATTTGGTGTCTTGCCTGAGCCTCCTTGCCTGCCTGCTCTGGGCTGACATCTGCTGGTTCCCCTTGGGATCAGAGTCTAGAAGTTGGTGTTAGAGTTGCATTCTTATTCTGGTGTGCATACCTGACTTCAGTTTTCATTCAGATTTCATTCACCATGTACTCTCACAATATGTGGGAGTAGGTTCCAAGTTGGCTCAAACACTCCTTGGTCTAGGAACAGTGAATTGTATCAGTAACACTTTCCCAGAGCAGTTCTCAGACCTGTTTCCTAACCATCTTTTTCTAGTTCTTGGGATAGAACCTTGGGCCAAAATCATCCTAAGAAAATACTCTACAGCTAAGCTATGAATACATGCCCCTTGCAACTTAAAATAAAATAAATGGTGGTGTGTGTGTACTCATGTGATGCATGTCTGTGTGAGATTGTGTTTATATTTGAGTGCATTTGTTTGCCTCTCTCTGTGTGTGTAGAGGTTTTGGTTAGACTTCATGTGTACTTCTCTATTATTCACCATCTCAATTTCCAAGACTCTTGCTGAACCAAAGGCTTTCTGCTTTGGCTAGGCTACCTGGGCAGCAAGCTCAGTGCTCTGTCTGTTCCTCACTCCCCAAGTGCTGGTGTTACATTCTCATGTCATCATGCCTGGCTTTTCAGTGGGTGCTGAAAACCTAAACTGTTATGGTGAAAGCTTCTCCTCAGACGCTGGCATCCATATACCCAAAGAGTCTGGGATGTTATGGTGGAAGTTCTACCCATGACCCCTCCCCTAACCCTCTCCAAACCCTGCTGCATCTCAGAAAGCCAGCCAAATGATGACCCTCCCCCCCGAGATTCTCAAGACCTCTCCCACAGGGTATTTAAACTGCCCCCAGTAAACAGACTTGTGGTCTTCTGGTCTCTCTTTCTTGTATCCTCTCGGGGGTAGGGGTTGGAAGGCTGTCCAGGAGTGTTGTATCCATTAAACATGGGCTTTTCCTAATTTGGTTTGATTTGGTCTGCTTTAGATTGTTGTATTGGCAGAGAGGCTTATCGGGGTGGAGAAACTTTTCACAAACATAGATAGGTCCTTAAGGTGACAGAGCAAGCCCTTTCCTAGCTCCTCTTCCAATTATATTTATTTATATTCCAATTTTCAATAGGATTTTGTGATGGGGAATGTACTGTGCATGTTTATCTTATTGAATGTTAAATAAAATACTGTTTGGCCAATGAGACAGCAAATTAGATGGGCAAGGGAGTCAAAGAGGATTCTGGGACATGTAGTAGATAAGTGGTCATCCAGGCAGGAAGTGACATAGCAAGGAGATTCATATTTAAGAGGAGAAACAGGAAGGGTCTCTTTTCCCCTTGCTCCTCCAGCACCACAATGTGATCCACCTGCAAAGAGAGACACCAATAAGGCGTCCGATAAGTCTTATAAAATATATAGATTTATGATAATTAAGACTGAGCTAACAGATGAGGAATCCTAGTCATTGGCCAAGCAGCTTTGAACCCAATACAAGTTTCTGTGTATTCATTTGGGCCTATTTTGGGCATGCGGCTGACATAAAGTGCACATGTGGCAGTGGGGCTCAGCGGCTTTTGGCGGAAAGATTTACTGTAACAATCTTGTTGTATAGTTGAGGCCATAACTCCATCTGAAGCCCAAGGACCTGGGAACTTCCAGTATTCTAAGAAACAAGCCGTATCTGTAGGCACCATGAAAGTGAACGTGAAAGGCCGGAACAGGAGGTCCACAGACACAAAGAATGTCCCTGTGCCTTCCTCAGAGTGAGAAAAGAGAATGAAAACATTTTACAACCTACAAGCAGCTCACCTGAAGGGAGGGGCCACAGAGCTGAAGTTGGCCCAAGGGGCCCTAAGTAATAACATGACACGGGCCTTTACTCCCAGGCAGAGATAGTCTGAATTTCAGGCCAGCTGGGTTTACTTAGGGAGTTCCAGGAGAGCCAGGGCTACACAGAGAAACCTTATTTCAAAAAAAAAATGACAACAAACACCAAAGAACAAAACTAAACAAAAGGCTCATATGGCCTACCCCTTTCCAGGCTCCTCCTGGAACCAATCCTCACTTCTTCCCATTAGCAGTCTGTAACAGTTGTAGTAGTATGTGACAGTTGTGACATCTTGTGGGAGTGAGGATAAAACCAGAAACAAAGATCAGCTACTGGTAAAGGGACCTGTGCCTCTTTTTCTAATCAATCCAAGTTCATCTGACCTTTCTTCAGTGAAATGACTCTGGCCAGTGAAAGACCCCCAGATTGAGGAGTCTCTACACATCGGACAGTTTCCCCCCAAAACTCAATGTCCAGTCCAGTTGATGTAAAAACAAGAGGTAAGTTTATTGTGGGACATTTGCGCAAACGGGCCTCCCAGTCCGACAGACCAAGGAAGCCCCATTCCTCAAAGGCAGGTCTCTTTTATAGGAAGAAATTAGAAGGTTTTGGGGAGGGGAGAGGGTTGGGGTACATAACTGGAGTCACAAGTCCTTTGAAGGTCTCTTATCTTTGGGGCCAGATGGTCTCCTGCCTCACCAGTTGGGGCAACATCCCATGGAATGAACCGGTAATTGCAGATATCTTTTTGGTTTCTAAGGAGCTCTCTTTTGTCAATTGTTGTTACCTTAACTGGTGGGATAGTCTGCTCTTATCTTCATGACCCCATGGGAGGGTGGCCCTTTGGAAGTTCTTGGTATTTAGTTAGGCTATCTTTCGGCCTTGTAAGGGAGTTATTGCGGCTGGCTAGAAAATTCCAGGGACTCGAGTCATTGTCGCCTTGGTTAGATTTTTAAGTCAGGCCACCCTGCTTTTAGTGTGGGAGTTTTTTTTTAAGCCTTCTTATTTTATTTCTTTGTTAATTTTTAAGTCCTTCAGCCAGCTCAAGTGTAGTAAGCGTGGCTCTGTCAGGCCTTTCACCTCTCCCCAATTCCTTCTGCCTCACTAAAAAACAGTTAGATTATATTCCTTAAGCTAGCCCCCAAACTCTATTCCCTTATTTGACCATTTCCTCCTCCTGAAACTGACGACCAAGGTCCAGCTATCAAAGTATTTAGCAATCAAAAGCCCAATTTGGCTCACCTAATTACCATGGCCAATTAAAATTAAACAACTAATTGACATGACAATTAAAATTAAATACCTCATCCTAACATGGGTTTTCCTATTTTACCTTTATAAACTGCCATTTTTCTATGTGCCATGTCTGTCTCTCCTCTATCTAGAGGCAGTTCTTTGTCCCTCCAGGACAAATACTCCTGCCCCCTTTCCCTTGTTTCTGTCCCCTTCTCCCTCATCCTTATCTCACATGTTTGTTTCTTATTTCTTGCTCCCTGACACTTTGGGGCAAATAAATAACCTTTGTGCTGAGAACTTGGCCTTGCTGGTCCTGAGCCAATATTTTTTTCTTTCATTCAGGCCACCTTTACCCTCTCACCCAGCCCAGAGATCAACACTACTTTGAGAGATTGGCCAATGATTGCTCTGGCTACTTACTACAGAGAGAGTAGTGTTCCAGACCGATGTCTTCAGGACTGTGAATGGAGCCAGCCGTACAGTCCCAGGTCTGATTCTGAGTGGAGGTGTGTGGACTAGGGAAGTTTAATTGCCCAACGATGCTAATGATGAGACCATATCATCTCAGGAGGGCTCCCAGCTGATGCTGAGCAGCCAAGGTTTATTGAGAAGTCCATTTAAATAGTCCTCCAAGAGCAGGGACAACATGAGGAGGCATCTATTATAATGTATATAGCTAACATCAAGTGATTCTATTACCTAAACAACTCTTGGTCACTTAGGCAGTCCTCAGCCCAGGCATCGGCCTACTCCAGGCTTAAGCCACAGAGATGCAAATTAGGAGGCATCTTACCCCGAGGCTATGGTAAACAATAGTAGCCCTACTGGCAATTAACAATACAATGGTGAGCCAGAGCTTTCAGGTGCTCCATGTTTACTGGAGCTAGAGGCTGGGCCCCAAAGTATTCCATAACAGAATTATTTGGTCCCCCACAGAGTAGTATTTTAGGGTTTCAGAGACACAAGGGTCCAAGAGGTGGGTCTCTAGGACTGCTCCAGAGGACCTCAATAAAACTAATTTGGCTGTGTCATTCTAGGTGTCAGACAGCCTTCAATAATGGCTGAGGTAATATCTGTAACAGAGTTAGTATGAATGAGGACCCCTATTGAAAATGTAACTGGGAAATAATTAAGGCTACTTTCCATTACTAGAGGGGGGAAAGTGCTAGGAAAAAAAGAAAGAAACAGAAAAATATCAGTTAAAAACAAAACAAAACAAAACTCTGAAGACCTTTTCATATGTCAGCAAGGATGATGACTACCTTGCCACCTTTGTCCATTGCAAAGGGTACATGCCATTGGTTTTTCAATATATTGAGAAATTTCTAATCATTCAACTCAAGATCAGAGTTCAGTCACCAACTTCTCTTCCATAACCAACTCATAAAGACCACTAAGATACAAAGGTTAGTAAAGTTCTCTTTGCTTTTAATGTTTTATTTTTTTAAATTTCATATAATATATTTTAGTTGTATTTTCCTTCCCCAATGTCTTCCTACATCATTACTCACCTCCTGACTCATCCAGCTTCCTGGTCTTTCTCTCTCTTAAAAATGAATCAGTCCCACAAAGAAAACATAACATACCATGGAGTTCTAGTTTTCTTGGCCCACTGAAAGACCCTGGGATCGAGGAGTCTCCACAAATTGGACAGTCCCCCCAAAACACTCAATGTCCAGTCCAGCTGATGTAAAAACAAGAGGTAAGGTTATTGTGGGACAACAAACCAAACAGGCCTCCCAGTCAGACAGACAAAGGAAGCCCTGTTCCTCAAAAGCAGGCTTCTTTTATAGGAGAAAACCATAGGCTTTTAGGGGTTTGGGTACGTGGTGACCGGAGTCACAGGACCTTTGGAGATCTCTTATCTTTGGGGCTGGATGGTCTCCTGACTCAGTGGGATAGTCTGGTCTTATCTTCATGACCCCAGGGCAGGGTGGCCCTCTGGGAATTCTTGGTATTTAGTTAGGTTGTCTTGTGGCCTTGTAAGGGAGTTATTGCTGCCAGCTAGGAAATTCCAGGGACTCGGGTCATTATGACCTTGGTTAGGTTTCTAAATCAGGTCTCCCCATTCTTAGGGTGAGAGGTTTTTTTTTTTTCTAAGTCTATTTATTTTATTTCTTTGTTAATTCTTAAGTCCTTCACCACTACCACACCTACATCAAACATTGACCAAAAAAAGTGTTCCACGACCTTTCTCACAGGTTAATTTGATAGAGGCAATTTTCGTATTTAGGTTCTATTTTATCACATGATTCTAGCTTATGTTGAATTGGCAAAAAACTAACCCAACATAATTGGGAAAAGCCCATAATGCCTCAAGCCTACACAAAACACTTGAGGCAACAAAGTCATGCTGAAAGTATGAGAAATAGTCATACATCAGTAACAGCACACAAATTGCAGCATTTTTTTAAATTTTTTTATTAGTTCAAATTAGGAACAAGCTTGGTTCACATGTCAATCCCTTCTCCCTCTCCCTCCCCTAACCCCAATCCCTCCTACCCAACCACCAACCTACCCCCCACCCCATCCACTCTCCAATCCCCAGGCAGGGTAGGGCCCTCAATGAGGGCTCCGAAAAGTCCACCACATTATCCTGGGCTGGGCCTAGGCCCTTCCCCATGTGTCCAGGTCAAGAATGCACCCCTTCACGTGGGATGGTCTCTCAAAGTCCCTTCTTACACTAGAGAAAATACTAATCCACCACCAGGGGCCCCCTAAAGTACAGAGGCCTCCTCATTGACATCCATGTTCAGGAGTCTGGATCAGTCCTCTACTGGCCTCCCAGACAGCATATGGGGTAGATGTGCTCCCCCTTTTTCAGGCCAGGTGTTTTTGTGGGTTTCTCCAACCTGGTACCAACCCCTTCGATCTTCATTCCTCCCTCTCTTCAACTAAGTTCCAGAGTTCAGTTCAGTGTGTACCTGTGGATGTCTGTCTCTGCTTCCATCAGAGGGCTCTAGGATGGCATAAAAAGTAGTCATCAATCTCACTGTAGGAGATGGCCACTTAGGTTATCCTCTCCACCATTGCCTAGATTGTCAGTTCGTGTCATCGTTGTAGGTCCCTGGAAATCTCCCTAGTGACAGATCTCTCCTCAGACCTATAATGGCACCCTCTGATATGGTATCTCTCATCCTACTCTCTATTCTTCCCCAACTCAATATTTCTGTGCCACCATTTCCTCTCCTCCACTCTTCTTCTGCTGTCATTCTGGCAGCTCCCTCCCCCCTACCCTCATTTTCCCAATTAGCTCAGGAGTTCCTGCCCCTTCCCATTCCTGGGATCCATTCATTTATCCCTCAGAGTCCTTCATGTTTCCTAGTTTCTTTGGTGAAGAGGATTGTAGGCTGGTAATCCTTTGCTCTATGTCTAAAATTCATATATGAGTGAGTACATACCATGTTTGACTTTTTTTGACTGGGTTACCTCACTCAGGATGGTTTCTTCTAGTTCCATCCATTTGCCTACGAATTTCAAGATTCCATTGCTTTTTTCTACTGAGTAGTACTCCATTGTATAAATGTAACACTTCAGTTGAGGGGCATCTAGGTTGCTTCCAGGTTCTGACTATTACAAACAACGCTGCTATGAACATGGTTGAACATATGTCCTTGTTGTATGAATGTCCATTATTTGGGTATATACCCAAGAGAGGAATGGCTGGATCCTGAGTTAGACTGATTCCCATTTTTCTGAGCAACCGCCATACGAGTCGCCATACTGATTTCCAAAGTGGCTGTACAAGTTGGCACTCCCACCAGCAGTGGAGGAATGTTCCTCTTTCTCCACATCCTCTCCAGCATAGATTGTCATTGGTATTATTGATTTTAACCATAATGACAGGTGTGAGGTGGTATCTCAGATTTGTTTTGAGTTGCATTTCTCTGATGGACAAGGATTTTGAGCACTTTCTTAAGTGTCTTTCAGCCATTTCAGATTCCTCTGTTGAGAATTATCAATTTAGTTCTGCACCCAACTTTTTAATTTCATTGTTTGGTGTTTTGGTGGCTAGCTTCTTGTCATTTTTGAAATCAGCCCTCTGTCAGATGTGGGGTCAGTGAAGACCTTTTCCCATTCTGTGTCTGGTCATTTTGTCTTACTTACTGTGTCCTTTGCCTTGCAGAAGCTTCTCAGTTTCAGGAGGTCCCATTTATTAATTGCATACCTCAGTGTCTGTGCTACTGGCCTAATGTTCAGGAAGCAGTCTCCTGTGCCAATTTGTTCAAGATTAACTCCCACTTTCTCTTCTAGAAGATTCAGTGTGGCTGAATTCATGGTGAAATCTTTCATCCATTTGTACTTAAGTTTTGTGCATGGTGACAGATATGGATCTATCTGCAGTCTTCTGCATGTCCAAATCCAATTGTGCCAGCACCATTTGTTGAAGATGCTATCTTTTTTCCATTGTATAGATTTAGCATCTTTGTCAAAAATAAGGTGTTCATAGGTGTGTGGGTTAATATCAGGGTTTTCAATTCCATTCCATTGCTCCATCTTTTTATTTTTGTGCCAATACCAAGCAGTTTTCAGAACTATGGCTCTATAATAGAGCTTGAAGTCAGGGATGGTGATGACTCCAGAAGATCCTTTATTGTAAAGAGCTGTTTTGGCTATCCTGGGATTTTTATTTTTCCATATAAAGTTGAGTATTGTTCTTTCAAGGTCTGTCAAGAACTGTGTTGGGATTTTGATATGGGTTGAGTTGAATCTAGATTACTTTTGGCAAGATTGCCATTTTTACTATGTTGATTCTACCTATCCAAGAGCATGAGAGCTCTTTCCATTTTCTGGAATCTTCCTTAATTTCTTTCTTTAAAGTCTAATAGTTCTTACTGTACAGGTCATTCACTTTTTTGGTTAGTGTTACCCCAAGATATTTTATGTTGCTTGTGAATATTATGAAGGGTAATGTTTCCCTGATTTCTTTCTCATTGGATTTATTGTCTGTATATAGTAGAGCTACTTATTTTTTTAGTTAATTTTGTATCCTGCTTCCTTGCTGAAGGTGTTTATCAGCTTTAGGAGTTCCCTTGTAGAGTTTTTCGGTCACTAATGTAGACTATCATATCATCTGCAAATAGTGAAAGTTTGACTTCTTCCTGTCCAATTTGTATCCCTTTGATCCCATTTTTTGTCTTATTGCTCTAGCTAGAACTTCAAGTACAATATTGAAGAGATATGGAGAGAATGGTCAGCCTTGTCTTATTCCTTATTTTCGAGGAATCACTTTGAGTTTCTCTCCTTTTAGTTTGATGTTTGTTATTGGTTTGGGATATATTGCATTCATCATGTTTAGATATGTTCCTGTTATTCCTGTTCTCTCCAAGATCTTTATCAGGAAGGTATGTTGGATTTTGTCAAAGGCCTTTTCAGCATCTAGTGAGATGATCATGTGGTTTTTCTTTTTTAGTTTGTTTATATGGTGGATTACATTGATGGATTTTTGTATGTTGAATCATCCTTGCATCCCTGGGAAGAAGCCTACTTGATCATGGTGGATGATTTTTCTTATGTGTTCTTGAATTTGATTCGCCAATATTTTGTTGAGTATTTTTGCATTGATAATTATGTGCGATATTGGTCTGTAGTTCTCTTTCTTAGTTGTATCTTTGTGTGGCTTGGTTATTAAACTGATTGTAGCCTCATAAAAAGAGTTTGGCAATGTCCCTTCTGATTCTGTTGTGTGGAACAGTTTGAGGAGTACCGGTATTACCTCTTGTTTGAATTTCTGATAGAATTCTGCAGTGAATCCATCTGGCCCTGGGCTTCTTTTGGTTGGAAGGCTTTTGATGACTGCTTCTATTTCATTAGGTGTTATAGGTTTATGTAAACTGCTTATCTGTTCGTGGTTTAATTTTGGTAAGTGATATCTATCCAGAAAACTGTCCATTTCCTTTAGATTTTCGAATTTTGTGGAGGATAGGTTTTCAAAGTATGACCTGAAGATTCTCTGGATTTCCTCAGTGTCTGTTGTTATATCCCCCTTTTCGTTTCTGATTTTGTTAATTAGCATATCTCTCTCTCTCTCTCTCTCTCTCTCTCTCTCTCTCTCTCTCTCTCTCTCTGCCTTTTGGTTAGTTTGGATAGAGGTTTGTCTATCTTGTTGATCTTCTCAAAGAACCAACTCTTTGTTTCATTGATTCTTTGTAATGTTTTCCTAGTTTCTACTTAACTGATTTTAGCCATCAGTTTGATTATTTCCTGGTGTCTACTCCTCTGTGGTGAGTTGGCTTCTTTTTGTTCTAAAGCTTTCAGTTTTTCTGTGATTTCTCTAGTGTGGCTTTTCTCTAGTTTCTTCATGTGGGCATTTAGTGCTATGAACTTTCCTTTTGGCACTGTTTTCAGAGTGTCCCATAAGTTTGGGTATGTTTTGTCTACATTCTCATTAAATTCTAGGAAGTCTTTATTTTTTTTTTATTTCTTCCTCAACACAGGAATGGTGCAATTGAGTGTTATTCAATTTCTATGAATATTTAGGTTTTCTTCAATTTGTATTGCTGTCAAATTTTAGCTTTAGTGCATGTTGATCTGATAAGATACAGGTGGTTATTTCAATTCTTTTGTATCTGTTGAGGTTTGTTTTGTTGCCAACTAATAGACAAGGTTCCAATGTGGTACTAAGAAGAAGGTATATTCTTTTGTGTTTGGATGGAATGTTCTATAGATATCTTCTAAACCCAGTTGGGTCATAACTTCTGT